CGAAATATTGCATATGACATATGCTTCATCTGGGGGAGGGGGGTTCTTGACTCCATTCCCAATACTCAGTTTATCCTGCTGTTCCACTTCTGTACTTGGAAGCAACGCCCAGCCAAGGGTTCCCCTGTTCCTGCTGTGGATTATCTACCAACAGGTCTTTCTCAGGTGGTGCTTATTGCATCTTTGCCCGTGTGCCTCTCCATCTTTCCTTCAGGCGACTGAGAGGAAAAGCTCTCGGAGGGCGAGAATGTTAAGAATGCACTCATGTACGGAGCTGGCACTGCACCCATCCACCTTCTGTTTGCCGTGCCAATGCTTAACAAAGTTGTTGGCAAGGGTCCCTGTGCCTCCCGCCACCCCCTTCCTCCCCCTTGTTTACCATGGGTTGCCAGCATGCATGTCCAGAGGGGCACAGAAGGAATGCTGCCCAGAAAGAGAGACAAGGAATTTATGGGCGTGTTGAGAGCTTAAATGAATGCCACAGTTGAGTTTGGGAGGATATAGAATGGGTGGGGAGATGGCAAGAGTTGTGGGTCTTCTGAAGTCATTGATCTGCAGGGAGTTTGTGTGTGTGTGTGTGTGTGTGTGGTTGTTGTTGTTGTTGTTGCATGCATGCTAATAGACTTTTGGGCTTCATTTTCTATCTGCGATATGGAGAGAAGAATACTGACCTGCATGATGTGGTGGTTCATAGGTTCATAGAATTGTAGAGTTGGAAGGGACCCCAAGGATCATCTAGCCTAACCCTTATAAATGCAGGAATCTCAACTAAAGCATCCATGACAGATGGCTATACTAACTCTGCTTAAAAGCCTCCAAGGAAGGAGAGTGCACTCCCTTCCGAGGTAGTCCATTCCACTGTTGAACATTTCTTGTCACCAGAAAGTGCTTCCTGAGGTTTTGTCAGAATCGCCTTTCAAGTTACAAGAAAAGAGATTACTATGAAGCATCAGGAATAACTTTCTGGTGGTAATAGCTGTTCAGCAGTGGAAGGGACTCCCTCAGAAGTGGACTCTCCTTCCTTGGTAGAGGCAGTTCTGAACAAGACAATAATGTGTAGCACTTTGAGCGTTCTTTGAAGAGCTATTGATACATTCATTCAGTTTCTGTCCCACTTTGGGATAGCGAGTATTGTCTTCCTCCCCCCATTTAATCCTTACAACAAGACTGCGAGGTAGGCTGGGCTGAAAGATAATACATCCCAAAATAACCTAGGTGTGTATCCCCCTACATCTTACACGGAGAAGACACATTTAAATTAATGGACCTAACTTAATCATATCTGTTAACTTAAGTGGCTCTACTCTGCATAAGACTAACATTGAATAAGACCCCCAGACTGCTTCCTTGTTGAATAAGGATGAGCCTTGGTCTTAACAACACCTAGCCTGACACTCTGCCCACCATGCTAGAACAGCTCATAGGGTCATAGATTTGCAACAGACCCATGCAGCTCAAAATCCTGCCAGAAGTCACACACCATCCTTGCCTCGGTGCTGTCGCAAACAGCATCACAAGAAGTGCTCCCTAAAGACAGTCCTTTGAGTAACCTTCTTGATCTCTTCTAAGAGGATTCTTGCCACCTCCAGATTTTAGAAGTACTCATAATTAAAAATAATGTGTTGAAGAAGCTTTTACTCAGAGTTGAACCACTGAACTGAACGGATGTAAGTTCACTGCAACCTGATATATTCAGTTCATGTATCTGATAAAGTGGGCTTGAGCTCACGAAAGCATATGCCCTATTACATTTGGTGATTTCTAAGGTGCCTAAAGACTTTTGATTATTTTTGCTGCAAGAGAGTCACACACAGATTCAATCACCCACCCACCCCTGCTGCTCGATTAATTTGAAGGGGACTTTTTCAATTGATTAAAAGTTTTATTTTTCAGTTGATAGAGTAATCTAGTTAATCAAGTAAACTAGTTAATCAACTCAATGTGGCTGCCCATTACAGTAGTAGTAGCAGTAGTAAAATAATAATAATAATAATAATAATAATAATAATAATAATAATAATTTATAAATGTGGGGAAAGGGTAGATGACCTGATAGCGTATCACATGGGAACCAGTTTGATTGCCATCCAAAACCTGGTAATCCTTCAAACCAGTATGTCTTCCTGAAATAAAAGATAGCTGAGATCATAGGAGCCAACTCCTATATTTGAGGGGGCTGCCCCCAAAAGTTAATGGGCAATACTGTTCAAATAGTATGCGTGCACCATGTCATGTGATCAATTATGCAGGGTGGGGTTTATCTGGGCCTCCACAATATTTTATTCAATTTGGCACCCCTGACTGAGATCCATCTCACTCAGTATTCTTGTATTAGTTTACATTGCCATAGGACTACGCAGATAATGAGGTGATAGAATGGACTTTGAGTTACAGGTGAGGAGTACTATTTCTGCAGGCTTCCCATGTTTCTTTCTTTCTTTCTTTTTTTAATTAATCCCTGCAAATAGAACACTAGTACTTCAGGACAAAAGGTTCTGGCATACAGCTTTTTTCTGCTGAGTGCTGGTTTCCTATTTTTTAAGATGTTGGCCAGTGTTCAGAAAATGTTTTATTGCCCACTCGGCCATTTGTACCACCATTCTGCTGAGCACGTTAATAGACTGGACTGCAAGTTCTCGGCAGGGAACTATGCATTTAAAGCAGTACCCTGCCACTTTAAACAGCTTCCCCCAAAGAATCCTGGGAACGGTAGTTTGTCAATGGTGCTGAGAGTTGTGAGGAGACCCCTATGCTACTAAAGGCTCTTCCGCTCTTTTACCTGCACCAAATAATCAGAACTGTCTCTGCCAAACAAGCTTGTAAACAGGGATTGTTGGGCATCATGTGAGCACTTTGGAGTAGCAGAGAAAATGCACTCACTATGTGCTCAAAGGCACTCCTGTTACTTTGTGCACTGGAAGGCTGAACCGTGGGGTGCAAAATGTTGAGCTTTGCTTCAGAGTAAGCCTTGTCACTGATAAGAACCCCAGCCTGTATAATTCACACTTTTCCAGCTCCCTGGCTTGTAGGCATCTCTGCAACAGTTTGCCTCCTGCCCTTCATGTCTCTCTTTATTTACCCTTTAATTTTCCTTGCCCAGGCCAGCCCAACAAATATATATATATATATATATATATATATATATATCCCAGTAACATAGTAGCCAGATGAACTCCATCTCAAAGGTTAATATGAAAATCTGGATTGGATTAGTTAAAAATTACTTACAACACTATTAAAATTCTGAGCTCTTTTATTTTATTTTATTTGAGATGGTTGTTGTGGCTGTGCATTAATTTAAAATGTCAGGGTTTTGGGTTTTTGTTTGGTTTGGGTTCTAAGTGTGAGTGTGTATGTGTATGTGTGTGTTTTCTCTTTTCTTTTCCTTGAGAAATCCAATAAGAACTTCAGCCAGCGGAGCGATCTGCAAAACTGTCTGGCACAGAGGAAAGTGTGTCTTTTCAATTGGTGAGGGGGAAAAATATGGGCCTTAACTGGAACCATATGGCAGCGCACTTGAGAGAAATCTGCTGAAAAGGAGAGGAGGGAAGAGGGAGGGAGGAAGGGGGGACTGTGTGCCAGGCAGAGGCAACAGGCAAGCTTGCTCCGCGCAGTTTGGGAAAGAAGGAAGGAAAGATACTTGTTTAGAGCAGAACAGGTACATGTCCTGAGCATGTGGGAAGGAGGCTGTAATGACTGAGAGGCAGAGCCAACGTATTCTGGTTTCCTTCCCATCTTTCTCCTTCCTTGCAAAAAATACAACAGACACTTGTGCAATTCTCAAGACAAAAGCACTGGGCAGGAGTCAGCATCTGCTCCCTAGATGTACCTATGTTGTTATTCCCCAGTTCTGCTTGTATCCACAAAGGGAGACAGAACTCTGGGTAGCCTCTGGGTGGTAATAAATCTGTGACTATGACTCTGGGGATGGGGTGGCATGAGTGGGATACATATACCCAGGACTGCTAGGCTTTGGATTTTGGGGTGAAAAACAAAAATAATGGTACTGCTGTGCCCCACCTTGCCCTAGTGATGAGCCTCCCTTGGAAGGAAGGGGTTGGACACATCCATCCATTTTGCTTTCTCCCAGTTTCTCACTTTTCCAATCTTCAGATCAGTTTACCCCACTTCTGCATTAGTTTGCATTTAAAAAAGAAGTCTGCAAGAAAATTCGTTATGCTCTTTTGGGCGAGCTTCTCTTGATTTACACATTTTCTGTGCACACTTTACCTAATGCAACAATATTTTACATGTGCACTCCCTTTTTACGCATTTTTGTGCATGTTTATTGGGTCAGAGAGCGGCATTGAGGAATGCAGATAATTTTGAGGGGTATCTGGGTTTTGATTCGTATAGCGGCTTGGGAAATGGGTTTTCCCCTCACCCCTACTTGCAACCAGGTGCAGGCTAGAGAGGAGAAGGTAGCATGGCAGCTGCCCTTACCTGTATGCCATCCTCTTGCCTCTAACAGGTTCTGCAAGGAGCACAACAAACTAGAGACAACAGAAATTGAGTACACACAGACACCCCTATATACATAAAAATGTAAGGCTGTTGTCACGCTCTGAAGTTGGCTGAAATAGAGGTGCCTTGGTTTTGTATGGGTGATTGCTCCCTGGCGGTTTACCGCTGGCTTCCTGTGGGATAAGCCCCTAGTAAGGCTCAATGCCAGCTCACACATGAACTTGTCCGCTTGAGTGATTCCTTGCTGTCTGAGTTGGCAGTCCAGCATCTGGAGAGTTACAAATTCCCCATTGAAAGCTGAGTTGGATCATTGGCCTTTCCAGCTCCAAATTCTCCACCTCAATCTTCTTCAACCTTAGGTGCCTAGATGCTGTTAGATTACATCTCCCATCATCCTTGTCCCACTGGCTAAGCTAGCTGGGAATGATGGGAGTTGTAGTCCCCCAAAACACCTGGGGACCCATGGATGGAGATCATTGGCCCACACTAACTGGCAGTGGCTCTCCAGGGTTTTAGGCAGGAGCCCCAGCCTTACCTGGAGATGCTGGGAATTGAACCTGAGGCCTTCTGCATATGAGGCAGATGCTCTCCCAGCTAAGCTGTGGCCATTCCCTGCTGTACACCACTACTGTTCGGCCACCCAGGGACTGATGCCTTTGGTTTACTCAGCTGCTTAACATCAGTGACTGCTGCGGACACAGGGAGTGGTAAAATCAGCGGCCCCAGGGCTGCCAACCTGGAAGCGCAATTGTGATGGAGGCTTGTTGGTTTCCAGCCACCACCACCCGTTCCCCGGGATGCGGCAGGGCGCCAGGAGCCAATACTCCTCCATTCCCACCCCCCTCCCGCCTGCCCCCCCCGGTGTTTCTCCCTCGCTGTGAGAAAAACCCGACTTCCTTGCACTGTCTTCTGCCTGCTGACATGTGTTCCCCATTAGACCTTAATTTCAGAAGATTTACAACACATTAAGTAATTTGTAGGTTATTTCAACTTTAATCTGCTGAAGTCTCGGAGAGAGAAAAAAACTCCCGAGATGAAATTCAAAACACACGGTTCTTCAAAGTGCTGGGAATGGGGGCATTTGGCAGGCCCCACATCTGCCTGGTTCCACATCTGCCCCGAGGACTTGCCAAGTGACGCAGGCGGTGAGAAGTGCAGGCCGTCAGGTGGAACGCGGGAGCAGCTCCTGCACTGCATGCAGAACGTCCCAGGTTCACTCCCTGACACCTCCGGATAGTTTCAGGCTGCGAGGAAGTCCCTTTTCTGATGGAAACATGGGGAGCTGTTGCCAGTCAGAGCAGGCTCTATTGGGCTAGATGGATAAATAGTCTGACCTGAAACAAGGATGTTTCATCTGTGAAACCTGGTCAAAGGAAATGATGATTCTGAGTCGCGTAACAGGAATTCTCAAATTGTATGTCCGGAGGCTTTGGTTGGCTCAGAAGAGGGTGCCTGCTGCTTCTCTGTGTGATCAGCTGTTCCAAATAACCTCAGCTGTCGGAAAGCCTCATGCAGAAATGCATGTGATTTGATTTATTATATTTCTCTGCCGCTTTTCATTCAAATGAATCGCCAAGTGGCTTACAAACAATAAATAACAATCACATAATAGAACACCAAAAACACAGCATATATCAAACAGAATAATTAACAAATCATTGGTGAAACAATTACGATCTATAAAGCACTATTAACAAAACAACTTTTTTAAAAAGCTAAACAGCACAAATATCATAAAAGCCATGTTATAGGATCCACAAAGTACTACAGCATTCACAATCTATAAAACAACATTAACAAAATAGCAACCAAAAAATGAACTAAGCACTGTGGAGCTCATACACACATGTGGGTAGTTCTTCACAGGATGCAAAATTAGTTTGTGGAACTTCCTGCCACAATATCGTTGCTGGCTTAGGTGGTTTTAAAAGGGGAGCTGGAACCCTGAAGAAGAGCACCCCACACTCCCAGCATTTTATTGCACCCAACAAACCAGAGCACCCAAGTATATTACAGTTGACTGCATGCCTCATTGAATGCCAGCCGCAGCAGAGTCTTTCAGCTTCTTCTGCAAAGGGTGGCCAAGTAATTGCCCCCCTCCCCATGTTTAGAAATAGTATAGATTTGTTTCTTTATTAAATACACCTCACCATCAAAAGGGGCAAGACCATGACCAGGTGAGCATTGTGCCCGCCTGTCCAGACTGTTGTTCAGGGGCTAACTATGGGTGGGCAACTTCAACGCTTCAGGCTGCACCCCTCTTTAGACTTCCTTTGTCTTTCAGCCAAGCATGGACTAGACAGGCCTTCAAATTCAGAATGCCTTCAAACCGAGGTCTGTCCTCTTTTAAGCAGGACACATGGCCCCTCTAACTGACACTGATTTCCTGGACTTGCCCCCCAACTTTCTTTCTCTCTCTCTCTCTCTCTCTCTCTCTCTCTCTCCTTCTTGGTTGTACTTGCTGCACTTGCTTTCTCTCTGCAAACGGAAGACATCAGGAGCAAGGGGACCAACAGCTGCCGTGGCTGGCAAGCTTGAAAGAAAAGGCAAGATGGTTGAATGTTTGAGCTGGCTGGGAGCCCATTGGGAAGTTCTGTTGCTTACTTCCTTGGGCTTTTGAGGAACTTTGGCCTGCTAGGTTGGCTGGGAGACAAATGCACAGAGCAAGCGATCGGTGGCTACTAACCCTGATGGCTGTCTTCTAAAGGGAAGGTAGTGTGCTTCTGAATACCATTTGCCAGAGAAGAGAGTTGCTGTGGCGCTCGGGTCCTGCATACAGGCTTATCAGAGGCATTTGGCTGGTCAGGGCAAGAACAGGACGCTGGATGAGATGGGCCACTCACCTGATACATCGGGTTCTTTCTGGAACGGATCCATCCGGCCTGATTTGCCTAGGAAATGGCTCCCAACACAAAGAGGGAGGAGGGAGCTTCCCGCAAAGGTGGTGGCATTTCTCTGCTCGTTGCCACAGCGGAAGGGTCACCAGTCTGGGCTGGGGAGACAAATGCTTCCCCCCGCACCAGGGTTTGGCAGCTGTTTCGGACGGGCACGCAGGCTCATCCGAGCGTGCCAGGCAGGTAGGGCCTCGGTTGCCCTGTTTCTCCTTGGTTGTCTGTTAATCTCAGAGTCCTGGATCACGGCTTCCCGAGTGCCGGGGATGGAGGAGACCCTATGAAAATGATGATATGTGACAATCAGTCACAGCAATTAGTGTTTTGGTTAACAGGCCTTTTTTGTTTTCTCTCACCCAGACAGAATGTCACAAATAAATCCTCGCCTGCATTTGCATATTAATTGGATCGGAGACGTCAAGCATCTTTCATTAAAGAAAATGATCTGCATATTTGGAGACATAAAATAGTTATTTTGATGGGTTTTCTCCCCCCTCCCCCCGCCCGTAAGATCAGGGGGTGGGGGAGGAAGGTGATGGGAGCAGTGAAATTGAGGTAGAGTGAAGGCAGAGGGGGGGAAAGCAGCTTGGTGGGCTTAACCCCTTGTGGCTCGGCACAAATCTGTCGCTGGGTGAGGGAGCAGATAAATAAATAAATAAATAAATAAAGCAAGCAAGCAAGCCCGGGAGTCATATTTTCCTTTGCAACATGCCAAGAGATGGGTTTTTCCCACCATGCCAATGAGGGATTCATAAAGGCACACCCCTAATGATAACCCCAGCTCTCTGTAGGCTCTCCCGGATCATCCCAAAGAGATCATTGGGGTAACCCACAGGGATTCATAGGCTCACAGCATTGTAAGGGACATTGGCCCTCACCTAGCTTGGCCCCTTTGCCTGGGGCAGTGAGCTTACAGTGCCAGCACCCCTGATGGGTTGCCCTTCAGCCTCTGCAGAAGTGTCATGGGTCCCGTGGACGTGTCATGGAGGGTATGGTCCAATCCAGAGGAAGAATGGGAGGAGCTAGGGGAGTTTGTTGACCTGGGGGAGGGTTACTGTGGTTTAGGGCAGATGAAATGCCCCCCCCCAAGTCAGAACCCAAAGAGGGGGCCAGCGAACTAGAGAGTTCACAGCTTGATCCATGGATCAAGAAGTGTTCTGTCCCTGAGACATTGGTCACCTCTAATCAGACAACTTCTGTTGTGCAGCCACCTCTGCCACCTTCTCCTGTCGGTAACAAGCCTCCTCCTTCTGGGGAGGTGGCTGAGAGTGAGTTGGATGTTAAGCTGGTGCCAACATCACCTCCACGGACACAGAGACACCAAGGCGAGCAAGCTTTGCAGGCCCAACCCATTCAAAGGAGTGTCCATTTGCTTGTCCAGGAACTCTGGCCATTTGCCACACTAAGCACTGCATCTGCCCTGCTCTTCAAAAGGAAGATGCAAGGTGTGTTTTGCTTGTTGAATAGATTTTTTTGCTTGTGCCAAACGTGCATCTAAACCTTTCTTCCACCTTCTGTACTTTGTACCTGGTGCTTTGCCTATGTATCAATCTGATTTACTCATTGAAGGCTTCAGCAGAAGCAAAACTGGGAGTTTGAGTTCTTCGTCAAACAGTGAGGACCAGGGCAGAAAAGCCATCTCCTGAGACAGACAGTTCCACTGCTGAGCTGAACTTCCAGTTTAGCCAAACCCTGCGATTTCCACTTACTGGTTCTAATTCTGCCCCCTGGAGCAGAAAAGAACGAGTCAGCTCCATCTTCATTCATGACAGCGCCCGGATAAGCTGAAAGACGGTCATGTCTCTCCTCAGGCTACATTCACATGTGAGGTTTACTGCGTTAGTTTTACTGGTTGCAATGCCTCTTGGTTTCTAACATTCCTTTTACATGGCGGTACCTGTTGCATTTCAGAGCTGTGGCTTGTTGGTCAATTATGCAGCCATATTGCGCTTATTGTAAACGGCAGGAAAGAATTGAGTGCTGGGATACTGCTCCAGATTTCATCACGAGAAACTACTGTGCAAAACTCCTGTGATTTCCCAAGTTAATGGATTTTTCTTCAGGAAACAATACAAAAATGAGCATCAAACTTCCAAAAATTCCAAAAGCGAATTTTATGGCATGTGAAAAAACAGATAAAATGTGGAAATGATCAGCCAAGGAAAAGTCAGGAAAATAGAATAAAGTGCTGTCTGAAGGCAGCCTTAAGCTTCTCTACTCTGGGCTGAACGTGCCCAGATCTTTCAGCCATTCCTCGCAGGGCTTAGAATAATAAAATCATTGAATCAAAAGAGTTGGAAGGGACCCTAAGGATCATCTAGTCCAACCCCCTGCGATGCAGGAATATGGGGTGTGGAAAGCTTCCTGTGAGGAAAAGCTGAAGGATAGGAGCATGAGAAGAGCAAGAAAGGATGTGATAGTGCTCTCCAAAGTCTTGTTCTGTGAGGTAGTGGGTTTCTGTCTGGACTGATAAGGTGGAAGGCCCAGAACCCAACAGCCAGACACAGTGATAGCTGGAGCCAGAACCAACGATAGGCAGAACTAACTCGATCCAGTTTTGTCCCCATCTTACTTCTGCCTGCAGAGCTCTACAAGGGCAACACTGAGACTCAGGAAGAGTAAGTGGACATGCAGAGCACCTGCTTGGCATGCAGAAGGTCCCATACTCAATCTCCAGCATGTCCATGCAGGGCTGGGAATGTCCCCAGTCTGGTATCCTGGAGAGCTGCTGCCAGTCAGAGTAGACAAAGCTGAGCTAGATGAACCCATCTAGTGGGTGACTCAGTATGAGGCAGCTTCCTACATTCTTAAATTTGGTGCTCTCACTTATTGGGCAGTCCTGAGCAAGCAGCAAAACAAATTAAATGCATTCGCTTTGCACAACTTGCGCTGAGCATCAGTAGCCCACAGCACAGGCGTTTGCTATTTGCAGTTTTGTTTGAGCTCCAGCCACACACAGCTCCTGTGCAGACCTCGCCGCTGTAACGCAATGGAAATTTGGCTTCCATTTTGGGTCTACAGGAGTCCAAATAACAGCAAAGTTGTCTGTGACCAAAGGCAGCTGCTGACAGTGCTGCGTTCCTGGCATGTAATCTCCAGAGGAGATTCTCTGCAACAAAAGGACCTTTTATGCTCTTTAAAAGACTCGTGCCGGAGTCATCTTCAAAAAAAACACAAATCCACCCCTCGATATTACTGGGGTGTCCCTTTCTACGCACTTTCAGCCTGCAATCTCTCTCCCTATTCCATGTTTTACCTCAGGAGATATAACATTCCCCCCCCTTTTCTATCTGATCCTTGGAAGCCATTGGTATCCAGGGAACATTATCACACACACTCGAAATAACCCAGAAAGCTGCCAATCCCTTATTAGGGAATGAATCCCCGTCGGAGAGGAATGGGAAGGCACAATTTATTGACAGGCTGGTGTGAACATCTCTCGCCCTCCCCTCCTTTTGGCTCGTAATAACAGAAGCCCAGAAACCATCTCTGGAATGGGAAAGAGACTTTAAATTGTGCCACGTTTCAAGGTACCCTTGCCTTGGCTGCTTGGTATTTACATGGGATTTGCATCCCCATTTTCAGAGGGCTCCTTCCAGCATTTCACCGTCACACCTTGGCATCTGGTGGTTCTGTTGTGTGTGCGGTTCCCCCCACTGCTGCTTGTTTTCAGAATTATAAAGGTAAAGGGACCCCTGACCATTAGGTCCAGTCATGACTGACTCTGGGGTTGCGGCGCTCATCTCGCTTTATTGGCCGAGGGAGCTGGCGTACAGCTTCCGGGTCATGTGGCCAGCATGACTAAGCCGCTTCTGGCGAACCAGAGCAGTGCACGGAAACACCGTTTACCTTCCCGCCGGAGCGGTACCTATTTATCTACTTGCACTTTGATGTGCTTTCAAACTGCTAGGTTGGCAGGAGCAGGGACCGAGCAATGGGAGCTCACCCCGTCGCGGGGATTCGAACCGCCAACCTTCTGATCGGCATGTCCTAGGCTCTGTGGTTATATGTATATAGCCCTGACCTTTTTCCTAGCTTCAGTGTGGCTTGTGGAAGCCTTCACCAACCTGGCATCATTTAGGTGCACTTTGGACTACAAGTCCCATCAGGTGATGGAAGTGGTTGTCCAAAACATGGCTGTTCTGGCCATGGGTTAATGGGACTTGCTTTCCAAAACACGTCTGTGCTGGAAGGGGCTGATGGGAGCTGTAGTCCAAAACATGACTGTGCTGGTTGGGGATGATGGGAATTGTAATCCAAAACCTTGGGAAATACTCCTTGCTTTCTTCCCTCCATCCTTCCATTCATGACTGAACCTGTTTGTGGAGACCCACTTTGCCACAAGCCAGGTTCCCTAGCAAGAGAGGGCAGATGTGGTGATTTGTGGCCTGCTTGGCTTTGGATAGGTAGAAGCTAAAAATGGCTTTCATGAACACACAGTTCACTTAGCAGCCAGCTGGCGCTATCAATCATCCGCCAGCACCATCAGGAAATGATTCCCAATCAATTATAATTGCTCTTTACCTATTTCCTGTGTAAATCACTTAAGTTTTTCCTTCCCCAAGTGGGAAATGCAAGAGGAAATGAGGGAGTGGAGACATCCCTTGCTCAACCCCCTCTGCCATAGATCGACAGGGCTACTGAAGCTCATGGGGTTCAAGTCCTCTACCCCATTGAAAGGCAGGGAGCCTCCACACATCGCCCCTTCCCAGATTAACCCAAACAACCAGAGTGCCTTGTCCTAAAAGCAGATGAGAGGCACAAGCACATCATACCCCTTAAGCTGGGGGTGGGGGACTTCATTGGATCTACTTTTTTAAAAAATTTAATTTTTTTTACTGGAACCCCAAGATTCACTAGACAGAGTCTGGTGCAAAATATGTGCATTTAAGATCAAAGAATTTCAGTCTCAGGAGTATGTTCTGAGTACCAGGGCAAAACTGAGCTAAGTGTCATCCAACACAAACATCCACTCCGGGTTTGTTTGTTTACTTAATGCATTTATATACTGCTTAATTATTTGCATTTCTAAGCAGTGTACATAAAAACAATCCACAGAAAATGGCGCATTAAAACAGTGGACATTTAAAAAACAACAACCCCGAACTCTACCTTACAATGCCTGCTGGGACTGGAAAATCTTAGTTATGTTTCTGAAGTTCAGCCAACAAGTCCTGCCCCAGCCCTCCGGTTTTTTTCATTTCAGCTCTATAATTTAGTCGGGGGTATTTGGGGGGGGAGGGATAACCATTTTGTTGGGTTATCAACTGGTTGTCAACATCCTTGCTGATCTGCTGCAGATTTGACTATAAAAAGTGGAAATGAAGCCCTCTCTGAGTCCAGGATCATTAGCCAGGCTGAACTTGTCATAAGGTGGAAGGGGCTATTATACTATTATATTGATCCCTACCTATCCCTAAAGAACCCAGGCTGTTGATGGAATCACAAGCAAGTTGCTGGCTTGAAACCAAATGGTGAAGAGGTGGCAGTGTGTGCAGAGTTAGGGAGCTGTGGAGTGTGACGCCTTCAAACTTTTGTTAGAATCCTCAAGCGCTTGAGAATCTTCTCCAAAACCCCAAGCTGGCAGTCCTCATCGTTACAACACGCAATACTCCGTTTGGTTCATGTTTGACATTCACGTCAGTGCAAAAGCCCTGACAGCCGATCCCAGTTTAATTTTGCACAAATATCCAAAAGCGTATCCGTCATCGTTTCAGGCTTACACGGGAGACGGCGGCAGACGGCCGTGTTTAGGTTGAAACCCACCGAGAAAAGGAGGAAGACGTCCGTTGTTGGAAAGATTTGGGATACTGTAAATCGGTGGGCCGCTCGCTGGAGATGGTGTCTGTCTTGTCATTTTAATTAGTCGCCCATTGGAGGGAGGAGGCGGGTGGTGGAAGGGCAAGCGGAGTGAATCTGTGTTCTGCCAAAGGCGGTGGGTAACGAGCTGTCCCGGTGCCATCCATCCATCTTGCCCGTTATTTTATGGAGTCCTCGGACGTCCGGAGTTCTGCAGTGTTTTGTTAAGCACCGTAATGCAGAGTTTATTTAATGTGGGTTTAACTGCCTCATGCTTTTATAAATCAAAATAATTAAAAATAATAAATTTGAAGGTTAAACAACAGCTTGTGCGGTGGCTGGGAGAGGAGGCCTGCTGGAGGAGGCAGGCATGCAGGAATGCCACTTCGGAGTTGGAAAGGCTTTTGTTTTGTCATGACATGCAGGGCAGGGGGTGTGTGGAGAGGACAGTGAAGAGTTGACCAAAGTGGGAGCTGAAGAGCAGAGACCGGTTTGTGCAAACATCTGGCAGTGGGCTGCAGTCAGCAGACGACACCCTTGGGTGCTTGTTGTGGCTCCAGTGTCCTGGCACAACAGCCTGCCTTGCTCCCCTGCTTTGAACAGCTTTCCCCCAGCACTCCATGCTCCAGGCAACCTTCTGGGGGCCACAGGCCAGCGGCAGGCAGGGCCAGAGCCTACAGTGCAATAGAATCATAAAATTGTGGAGTTGGAAGGGATCGCAAGGGTCATTTAGTCCAACCCTCTGCAATTCAGGAATCTGCACTAAAACATCCCTGGCAGATGTCCATCCAACCTCTGCTTAAAAGCCTCCAATGAAGGAGAGTCCAGCACCTTCTGAAAAAGTTGGTTCCACTGTCGAACAGCTCTTACTGTCAGAAAGTTCTTCCTGATGTTTAGTCCAAATCTCCTTTCTTGTAACTCGAATGCTTTGGTGCTGGTCCTACCCCCTGGAGCAAGAGAAAGCAAACTTGCTCCATCTTCCATGGGATAGCCCTTTAGATATTTGAAGAGTGCTAACACATCTCCTCTCAGTCTCCTCTTCTCCAGGCGAAACATCCCCAAATCCCTCAACTGTTCCAACTGAAATTAATGGGCATGACTAACTTAGGTCTATTAATTTCAGTGGGTCTTATCTGAGCAGGATTGAGTTGGAGACCACCGTAAAGCCTTTCCACCCACATGACTTTATTTTCTGGTCCCTGGCTGACTTAAGCCCTGCCTCTGAGCTTAAAACAGGTTATTAACACACCCTGTGTTTTTTAAGCTCAGAATTGCTCCCTTGGGGTGGCTGGGAATGGCAGGACGAGGTGGTGGGACCCGTGGAGACTGTGCAGCCCCCTCTCTTTCTCTTTGCATATTCTTCTTGTGTCAGCTTGATAAGGAATTTGAGGGCTTTATCAGAAATACCAATGCCTTATTTAGCAGGGTGAGGCAAGTGCCCATTTGGCTCTGTGCAATCTGTTGATAAATGGCAAAAGAAAGGAAAGAGGGGGTAGGAAACTGGTGCAGGCAGGCAGTTTCCCCCACCTTCCCCGATTGCGCTTGCACTTTGAGACAACTGATAACAAGGATTTGCTCGCCGTTCAGCGTTTCCTATTTTTATTCACAGTGGAGAAATTCCTCTCCCCTCTGTCTGTCTGTCTGTCTGTCTCTCGCTCTCAGTTTTGACCAGTCCTTGTTTATTTATTTAACAAAGTGTCATGCAAGGACTGGTGGAGAGTGACACTGATTCCACCTGCTTTGTTGGGGAGGGGTTCTCTTCAGTAGGTTGGCATCCAAAATCCAAATGTGGGTTTCAGGGTAGGCCTGTGATCCTATGCCCTAGAGGTTTGGAACTTGTTGCCCCCCAGAGATGGCTGTACTCTCAACTACCATTAAACTCCAGTGCAAAAGTTGCTTGGAGAGAACAGGCACAGCTGACCATCTTAACACCCTTTTAAAGGAGCATAGCATAGTCCTATGGATAGTTACTCAGAGGCAAGCCTCACTGAGTTCATTGGGACTTGCTCCCAGGTACATATAGGACTGCTGTCCTATAAGCTAGCAGCAGATATCCTTGTGCCTTGCGCGTCTGTAAACGCAGCATCTGAAGTTACTGCTTCCTTTTGCCTCTCCTGAGTCTCTCCTGTCTGCCTCAGTGGAACATCCTGAATTCAGTTGTCTATGAGCAAAACCCAAAAGCTATGCTATGGTTGGGTAAAACCTTTGTTCAGATCAACCAAAATGTCACAAGGTGTGAGAAAACGCTCAAACTCTCAGAAAGTTTAGTCGGCTCCCAACCAAATGTACTAACACACCTAGCCGGGGCCTGCCCAATACATTTTGGCAACTGAGACAAACCACAAAATGCTGCCCCCACCACCACCAGGGAAGAAAGGGTGAGTGACGATCTACACCAGGAGCAAGTGAGGAGTAGAGATCTACATTAGGAACAAGGCGAGGAATCAAATCAACCTTACCCAACAGTTGAAGTGGGAATCAAAGGTCGTCATGCAGTGGTGGAAAGTGGCATACTCTGAATCATGCTGGGTGAGTGCAGAGCCCAGGAAACCCCAGAGCGCAGCCTCTGTCATTTCCTCCCTAGGAATGAGAGGAGATCAGCAGTGCTTTCTCCAAGAGGCCACCGTAGAGGCGGCATTGTGGGGGGGCTGCCAAGGAGGCAGAAGATCCTACCTCCTACGCTGAAGCTGTGGCTGCCGCTGTGGCTGCAACAGCAGGAGCTGATTTCCCTGGAGGCCAGATCTGCTGCCCTTCTGGATCCTGCCGCCCAAGGCAGTTGCCTCACCTTGCCTCATGGGTGCGCTGGCCTAGCTCTTCTCTTTGAGTATTAGGCAAGAAGGAGACCAATAGCTACATCATGCATACTCCCCCAATGTAATCTTTTATTTTCTTGAGCCAAATATTAGCCACTTTAGCATGGGTAGGCAAACTAAGGCCCAGGAGGCTGGATCTGGCCCTATCGCCTTCTAAATCCGGCCTGCGGACAGTCCAGGAATCAGCGTGTTTTTCCATGCGTAGAATGTGTGCTTTTATTTAAAATGCCTCTCGGGGCTATTTGTGGGGCACAGGCATTCGATCTTTTAATTCCCCCAAAATTATAGTCTGCACCCCCACAAGGTCTGAGGGGCAGTGGACCAGCCCCCTGCTGAAAATTTTGCTGACCCCTGCACTTTAGCCTTTCCTTGTGAGGGTTCCCAAACTCTTTGCACAATGTTGTTTGCCCTTTTCTATGCAACTTTACCACCTCTAAAATATCTGGTTTGCAATTTGGGGATCAGCTGCGAGCAGCCTGATGAAAGGAAGGACGAGAGGGTCTGATTTTTATTAATTTACAATAACAGGGATTAGATATTCTCTCTCTCTCTCACACACACACACACACACATACACACACACACACATACATATACAGTGCTTTTTTTCCTTAAAAAAAAAATTTAGGAGTACTTCCTACTCATATTGAAATACTGCCACTCAATGAGGCCGAACTTAGATTCACAAAATATTTTGGGGTATGCGTACCCCTGCATCCCTCCCAGAAGAAAAGCACTCTGGGTGTGGGTGTGGAGAAAGAGTAAAATAACCCTACAACAATAGGAACTACATGCTTGTTCTTTTTATATAAAAATAAAACAAATCTTACAACAACAGGGACTAGACGCTTACTTATTTTTAAAATAAAACAAGTAGAAGCTGAAAACATAGCCCAGCCCAATGCTGATTCAGCATTGGGGTTATTGTCTGCAGTTGAACTGTTTCAAAACCAGTAACTCTTTTCCTTTGCTACCTGTGTATGAAAATAGGGTGAGTGGGGGGAGGGCCAGAGCAAAAATGGGTCCTTGGGACAGTTCAGCAACTTTGATGAAGCTCACTAATAGGTATCAATCTCCTGATTAGGATTAATTCGAGCAGCCCAGAGTTTGCCAGTCTCTGATATTCTAATAATAATAATAATAATTTTTAAAAAATAAAATTCTCAGGGCAGTTTTTTACTCTGGAAGAGGATTTGTGTGCTGGACGCTGGAAGAGTTGGAATTAGCCCAGATGTGGCAGGGAGGGGGTGGCGAAAGGGGGCGTGGGAGCTAGACAGGCAGTAAGGGTAAACGGAGCTGACAGGGTCAGCCAGAGCTTTTGTCCCTGCAGGCGGCATGATTAGAGAGCTTGCCCGCCCAATTCCTTAGACTTTAGGGATGTTGTCGGACAAAACGGGGGTCTTCCTTAATTCCACCAGAGCGCAAGCGAGATCAGACTTGACATCCCAGGAACCCAATTCCCCTCTTTTTGAGCAAATAAATAAATCCCGTCCCTGCCGGGGATGGAAATAATCGTTCAAACGAGGCTTGTCAAAGTCCACTTCTAGCTTCGGGGGGTGGGGTGGGGTGGGGGTTGATGGTGGTGGTTGGCCCTTGTTGAAGCTGCTAAGCCTGAGAGGGAGTTTGGGAGCACGTGGGTGGGCCCAGGCGCTTAGGGGAAGTAGCTCTAGAGCAGCAGGCTGTGGCTAGCGGAAAATTAAATGCTGCAGCAGAGATTTTGGGTCTAGCAGCAAGGCCCGTGCCGTTCTTCATCGCTCAGGTTCGCTGACAGGGTTACGCCCTCATCTGTCTGGAGGGCTCTGCGCTTTGCCATCCCCATCCCTGAGTAAAATTAAAATGTGTTTTCTGAATGTGCCTGTAAACAGTTGGGCATGACTCCTTATCACAAGAGTTGAAAACCTCCAGTCTGAATGTGGCCTCCCAGTTACCTCTGTCAGGCCCTCGGGAGTCTTCCTAGGTCACACCTCCTCACCACCCAAGCTCTCTGCCCTCCTTGAGTGCTTTTGCCGACTTCACCATCATAATTAAATTTATATGCCACCTTTTCTCCCAAGGAGCTCAAAGCAGTGTACATGGTTCTCCTCCTCCTCATTTCATCTTCACAACAGCCCTGTGAGGTAGATTAGGTCACCCAGTGAGCTTCATGGCTGGGTGGGGATTCGAACCATGGTCTCCCAGGTCATAGTCCAGCACTCTAACCATTGTGCCCCACTGGCTCTCTGGGACTCATCCTTGAGCTGCTACATTTCCTCTTGCTTGCCTGATTGGAAGATGGAAAGGTAGAAGCCACTTGCTTCTGCGTGGTTGAAAGGTATGAGCCATGTTGCTCCTCCCACTTTTGTTCCTGGCCCTGCCTACATTTGACTTTGGCCCCGCCTACCACCAACATGCTGCCCAGGAAGCCCCCTCTCCTAAGGAATGTGAACTCCAGGCTCCTCACCATATCTGAAGCTGTATACAGTGGTACCTCGGGTTAAATACTTAATTCGCTCCAGAGGTCCGTACTTAACCTGAAACTGTTCTTAACCTGAAGCACCACTTTAGCTAATGGGGCCTCCCACTGCCACCGCGCCGCCGGAGCACGATTTCTGTTCTCATCCTGAAGCAAAGTTCTTAACCTGAAGCACTATTTCTGGGTTAGCGGAGTCTGTAACCTGAAGCGTATGTAACCTGAAGCATATGTAACCTGAGGTGCCACTGTACAGTCATACCTCAGGATAAATATGCTTCAGGATAAGTATTTTTGGGTTGCACTCCACAGTGACCCGGAAATAACTTCCGGGCTTCACCGCCCACGCATGCGCAGACGGTCAAAATGACGTCACGCGACCCGCGAACGCACAGACGCATAGTCACATCTTACGTTCTATTCAGGATGCGAATGGGGCTCCGGAACAGATCCCGTTTGCATCCTGAGGTACCACTGTATTCTTCCTCTGTGGCATGTTGCTAGACATATTCTGTATAGCAGGGAAGAGAAGGTGCCACTTTGCTCATCCTCCTTCTGCACTGGCCTAAATCAGCCGTTCGGTTTGCTAACCAGTCCTAGTTATGCAAAGCCTGTGGGCCCAATCCACCCTATTCCAGAGAAGGTGACCTAAGGTGCTAAGTGGCTGACAACCTGCCCAAAGTGATAGCTGCCTTCCAGAAGCCGGATCACATTCAGGGTCTGTGGTGTAACCATTGGCTCTACAGGTTATGCCTAAAGCCTAAACCAGGTGCTTTGGACTACAACTCCCATTGGCCCCAGCCAGCAC